ACACACACACACACACACACACACACACACACACACAGGCATTTGTGGTTTATGGAGCCACTATGACTTTTGGGGTGTTTATGGGGACACACCTTTCTACAGACCATGAAAAACTTGTTAAAACTGTTTATTTTACCCAGAGAAGATACGTCTCACTTCAAAAATATAAATTTACTTTCTGAACACATGTATTACATGTATGATATTTACAGGTTTATGAGGTCAGGCCATCATAACAGTTTATTGAGACAATTAGGGATTATGAGATCTGTTTATAAAAAAATACAACTTAGGCTAATTCATGGTTTAAGGCAGGGCCATTCAGCTAAACTGCTGCAGGGGCCACAGTTACTGCAGGTCAACAGCTGAGGGGCCCAACATCCAGCACTTAGTCATTCTGTAAATAAACCAAGTTTTACAAAGGTCTGTTACCTTTGAAATAGTTTATTTTGCTGCATTTAATCGTGAATCCAACACAGAACCTATAAAAGTAGTGATAATTAAACAATATCAAAAACAAAAAGAACACATTCTGCCTCTTATTTAACACAAATAGCACCAGCATTTGCACCATTTTGACTGGTTTAATCCAAAGTAGAGTGAGTGACAGTAATCCAGTCGAGATGAAATAAAAGCGTGGACCACTGTTTCAAACTGTTGCCTTGAAAGAATAGATTTTATCTTTGCTATTTTTCTCAAGTGATAAAAACTAGACTTAACTGTAGCCCTTATYTGACTGTCAAGTTTAAAATCACTGTCCATCTTAAAACCAGGGTTTGTAGCTGTGGGCTTCACATACATCACCAGGGGGTCTAAATCCACTGCAGGGCTCGGGCATGCTCCACTAGGTCCAAAAACAAATATCTCTGTCTTATTTTTCATTAAGATCAGGGGCACCAGCGGGGGGGCCATGGCCCCCTGAGAATAAGCTGGCCACCCAAGTGCCCCCCCAGTTTTATCCTCTTGAGTACCCAGGTTTTTCCTTTTTCAATTCCCCTACTTATTTAGGAATAGAACCTCAAATATAAAAGCAAACACTGATTTTTTAAACAATTAATATTTAAAAACATTAATTTATATTTTATTTAAAATAAAAAATGAAAATGTAGCACCTCTGAATAAGGACAACCAGACCAGTCTAAAACCAATGTTCTCAAATAAAGATGGAGGTTCTCATGAGGTTATATTCACAGAAGTATTTTAATCAAACATTAATTAAAGAAATGAATAATTATATAATAAATATAAAAAGAAAACTATTTTTTTAACAATTAAGAGTTAAAAC